CACAGACATTGGTTCTTCATCCCTGGTCTGTAAGGGGGCTAGAGGCCAGGGCACAGGAGCAATTAACCAACTCTCAGTTTCCCCTTTTTAAGTTAGGAAGAAAAGTGTAGAAGAAAACTCTTTGATTCTCCCTGATCCTTAAACAAAGGTAGATTCAAGTGACAAGGTGGGACGAGAGCCCGTTTCATTTTCTTACCCTGACCGTTTAAAGTGCCAACACAAACACTACCTTCTTCATTCAATTCGGAGTCGACAGAGGCAGGTCTGTTGTGGGGGAATGGTTGGGGTTCAGGAAGATCTTATGGCTGCTGTTAGCCAGCAGGGACCTGGCCACTCAGCCATGCTTGGGACCCCACAGCTCCTCCCCCAGCCTCTAGCCACTCCTTTCTCAAAGGCAAGGGTGGGTCAGTGGAGTTTGCCAAGACTGTCTCTGTAGTCTGGGGCGGGGGGTGCTGGTTGGGGTGTTCTTCTATAAGCTCTGATATCTGTTTTACCACCAGCCCCTTGTCCGCCCCAACTCCACATCTCCCTCCCTTCAGCTTGGCCATGTGCCCCTTTGAGAGAAGGAGACAGCCCCCGCTAGGGCCAAGGACAGCAGAGCCCTGCCTAATGAGAGGCTGTTGGGGCAGTGGCTCTGTCCTGTGCCTTACCAACCAGGGGAGAGGATGTTTGGCTGGAAGACTAGAGTTTAAATGCCATCGTCTTTGATTTTGTGACATTTTGCTTGGAGGAGTCAGTCCCCCACTTCCCACTCCTTAGCATGTGTGCCAACTCTCCCCTGTCATGGCATTCCCCTTCCACATTCCAGCCCGGGGAGTGCTGACGTTTAAGTGTGAAGAGATTCCCCTGCGTGATAGAACCTAAGAAGTGTAGCTTGGAAGTGATGATCCATGTGATGATGACTTTTCTTTCTTTCCTCTTTGTGAGGTGAGTTGTAGACCCTGACTGCCTATGTAATGTAAATAGTGTACATTTAATTTATTGCTATGGTAGCATATTGTATTTGTTAATGTATAAAACAAATTCTAAAAGGTCAACAAATGTATATTTTGTTGCTTAAATGTGTCTTTGCAGAAATTGACAATAAATAACATATTTTGTGTCCATCAGTGTTCAGACGTCTTTGCTTGAGGCCCCGGTACTGAGCATCGCCTTTTAGTTCACCAGAGGTTGAATACTGGCAGCCCGTGGGCCATATCCTATAGATATGTTTTAAAAAGTTTCAATTAGTTGCTGATGTTTAAAACTGACTGCAGTTAAAACTTTTTAAAAACCTAGAATTTTTACAGCAAACCTGAATTTTCTGCTTCTCTTAAAAATTAGATGCTGGATCTATCTACCCCTTAGCAATGGCACTAATTGGTCAGACCGCACTAGATGCTACCCCTTTGGTGGGACCTAAGTGTGCCATAGTCCCCACCATTCCCTATTGTTTACACCTGGAGCATTATTATTTGCTTGTTCCCTGTGGGCATCTGAGTGTGCGACCACTGCTATTCGCTGATATATTTGCAACCTAGGATTGTCTTCCTTCTACCCGCGTTCTTTCCAGATGCCCAATTCACTTCTTCAAGGATTCTTTTACGATTACGTGCCCTCTCTTCTATCCTCTTTGACTCCTGAATGGCCACACCCTTACGTATGTACGCTTTGCTTTACAACATTTGGATGTAAGTTTAGAAGTAGTATCTGTATTTTTTTTTCCTGAAGAAATTTGAAGGCAAGGACCAGGCCTTTATTTGCTGGGATTTGGTTGTGTGATCTTTGGCAAATTACTTAACTTGTCTGGATTTGCTTTTTCTTTTAGGTATAATTGGAAAAATAATCCACATGAAAAGCATGAGGATAAAAAGTGAATTTATAATTGGAAAAGAACTTTGAAAAAAATGACAGGTGTTATTCAATAATAATTGTTATTATTATACTGACAATAACAGCCGCTGAAATTTATCGAATGCTTACCATGAGCTTAAGTTTTACATATGCAGTCAGTTTTGCTATAACATGACATACTAGTTCCTAAAAAGTCAACACTATGCAAAATTGTGCAAATGGAAAAAATAGGGCTAGGAATATAACACAATCTTTGTCAGTGACATGTAAAAATAAAAATTTATTCGCCACTCAATGAAAATGGTAGCACAGTTTTTACATGTGTTAAATGATTAAGAAATACATAAATACTACAATAAACACAGCATTTTACTTTGACACAGACCTGAAGTTTGACTGTGGAAGCGGGTGTTGGAAGGGTTGCCGCTTGTTATTGTGAAAAAGTGGAGTGGGAGGTTTTCTGAAGTCAGATGGAGAGCAGTAACACCAGACATGGATGGGTGTAGCTCGATACATGGTGTGCCGAGGTAGCTGGTGGATGTCTGAGGTGTGTGCATGTGGGTTTTGTGTGTTCCTATACAGCGCAGTTCAGTCGGGTGCAGTTTTCTGCATTCATCTTCTATTTCTCATGGAAGAGTTGCATTATCAAAGTGCAATTTGTTATACTCAGAATTTTCTTCTGATATATTAATTGCATTGGACCAAATTCCCATTTTTAAAACAAGTATTCCTGCAGAACTGTGTTATCTCATTTAGTCATCCAAACAACCCCATTAAAGCATGTTATCATCCCCACTTCATTTAAGGAATCGGAATCAAATTTTTTTCAGTTTGGAATCCAAATTTGATGCAGAACTACAAGGATATGCTGAATTCAGTATGAAGCTGTATTTCATACTGTGGTGTTCCACATACAGAGGGATGCACTGGATAAAGTTCATTCCAGCCCTCTTTGGTTTCTTTGTCCAGCTTAGAGGCACATTCCTGGAACCCATGTCTGCAGCATCCTGGGCGGCTCTCATTACACCCATGCTATGCGGTGCCTCACCTGAGCCCATGGTTTCAGGCTTCCTATTTCTCAGAGTTTTAGGTTCTGTCTGTTGAGTGAAGCTGCATGTTTTATACCAACAACCCATGCCCATCTGCACCTCGTGGTTTGGCTGCTTCCTGGATTCAAGCCTTCTTCTAGAAACTGGGGGATCACTGATTCCCCAGAGCCTTGGTGGAGGTTGAATATTTCTTTCTCTATGGGTAAGTGCTGTAGGAGGCACAGACAACCTTCAGCTGGGCCAGTTCCTGTCCTTCCAAACCTTCACCCTCCCAGGGCCCTGCAGGCTCACCTTTCAGTCTAGGTCTGTGTTCAGGTGTCCCCCACTAAATGAGGCACTCCTCGAGGTTAGGGGCTCATTTTCTGGACTCTTGAAATCTATTTTCCCCACCTCAGTATACAGCAGGTCATAGCAGTCCTCAGACTTCCTGTGGGCCATTATTCTGCCTGCCAAACAGTGAAAGGCTGCTCAGGCTGTGCTCAGTTTTTCCTTCCGTCTCATTTTTCAAGTGCCTGCTGTGGCCAGTGGTGCTATCAGTTTTGTTCTAACCATCTCTTCTTTGCCTTCTGGTAGCTGGCTTCAATAATAATATTACAGTCCAGTTCTCTAACTTTGCAGTAGCTATCCGTTATTAAAACAGTGTCAGTTCATTTCAGACTCAGTCCTATTTTGTTTTAAATTTCACGTTCAATTCAAAGCCCTCTCCACCCTCTAGGACAGGCTAGCCTGTGGGTCCAGAATCTTGTGTGTGGCAAGGATCCCCTCCTTGACCCAACTTTAGTCAAGCTCCTCTGAACCCTCTTTTAAACTAGGTATCATCTTTGGCCTGTTCTTGGCCTACCCAGCCCAGTTTAGCAAAGAATCCTGTTCAACTGTTTTTTTTTGAGAATTCCCCACTCATCACCTTTGATATCCAGTCAAATTGCTTTTCCCCCACCCTTGATACCTAACCAAGTTCCTCTCAGTAATTTTCCATCCAATCCCTCACCCTGCCTAGTGGCTAGAAATCCCCACTTGTCCCTGTTGTATTTGGAGTTGAGTTCTCTCTCTCTCCCTTATTGCAACAGTCTTGAAAAAAGTCTTCCTTGACTATTGAACTCCTTCTGGTGCAATTTTTCTTTGACAAGTGGCTGGTCTGCCTTCATGCCTAAGCACCTCCTCTGCACTTTTATACCGGTGTTGGGCTGGGGAAGAGAACGGCAGAAGAGACCTCTAATTTTGAGACTGACTCTGAAAGAGCACAGTGTTAGTCTGGGCACTCTGAGAAGCGGACACCAACACAGGAATACGGAATTTATTGGAGGAAAGGCCTGTGAGAGGAAATGGGGAGGGAGCTGGAGAAGGCTGGAGAGCTGTCAGACCCCAAGTGAAGGAGAAATGGAAGGAAGAAAGGTGGGGTGGAGGCACCTTTGATATCAGTTCAGTTCTAAGAAAAATTCAGCAAGGCTGTTGGGGAGGTCCTTAGCCAAAGTCACCTGCCAGAGGAGTCTTGTATATCACAAGAATGAGCCTAAAATTATCCTACTTGCCATACCCAGCCATTGGATGAGAGCAGCTTATGGGAAGCCTGGCTTTGGTGTAAGCTATGGAACACAGTGACAGGTTTCAGAGCACAGCAAATGGGGCCATTGGTCAGTATGCCCCCTGCAGCTGGAGACATGGGAGGCATATTCTCATAGTCACTATATGAACTTGCCCCAATTTTGGTTGGTTACAGTTTCCCTTCATTTGTGGATAGGCCCACATTAGTGCAGGGGGAGGCTGAAACCCCCTTTCCCTTAGTTCTCTCTCTCTCTGTCTAATACCAATCCTCCATCGGTTTCTTCTGCTTGGTAGGCATTCAGATGCAGCTGTTTTGTCATAAGTCCCCTGCCATGAGAGATAAGGCTCAGGCTGGACCTATTTCTACCCTTTCCTTAGCCCCTGCTCTAAGAAGTCCACCTTGCAGCCTTTGGTTAATGGTATAAGAACTTGAAGCCCTGCTACCTCCTTGGTGTCCGCTCAACTCTCGGGCTGTTCCTTATCCCAGTCACCC